ATTCACATTTCATAGGACACGCCCGAGCTGCATATTGAATTCGTAATGAGAAATGAATTAAAGCTAGAGTTTTCCGACAGCTTGCAGAGTTCCCTAAGAATCGGCCAATAAATAAAATTAGAATTAGACTTGACGAAAATGGCAGTAAAGATTATTTTTGAAACGGACTATTTTCAAAAGGACAAGCTGCAGCTGATCGACATGCAGTTAGAGAGCGAAGCTATTAGAAACTATCGAAGGTAAATTTTTGATATATGGCTTAAAGACCTAACTACAGTAGAGTCCAGTTATAACGACTCCAATCATAGCATTGGACCATCCCTTGACCGGTTTCTACTTTATTTGTGTGGGTATTTGGTCAAGACATTTATCGATGTGGCAAAGCACATATACTTTATATTGTATATTCAAATTATTCTTATTGTTAAAATAGTGACAGGATAATTTAATTACACTATTATTATATTTCTATAATCTAACAATACTAAATCATAAAAAAGAATAAATTGAATATAGAAAATATATATATGCTTATATATTATATATATGAAAAAAAAAAGAAAAAATATATTCTTTATATAAAAAATACGCAACCGAAATCAATATCAAAAAACATTTCTTCGCCATTTCTGCTTTTGAGCTTATACAAAGAAGTCGTCATATATAGTTGGTATATATCTGTATAGTATTTATTTAAATAAGTGTCATTGTTCACATTTTTGGCCTGAGGGCGTAAATTCTTTTCTATGCTTGTTGATTCTCTTGAGCACTTGACAAGCTATTTAAACGAGAGCAAAGGAGACCATATTCACAAACTGAATCAGCAACAGACCCAACAACAACAGCAACAATAACAAAAAGCAACTGCAGTCGAGTTTATAACTGAAGGCAATTCACAGTTGACTCGGCCAGCTACTAGTCGGGAGTATCTGCCTGAAAGAAGTTTTCACTCTTGACCATTGTCATGCATTATGCCAATTAATTGAGCCAGCAATTGACCCTGGTTGGCCAGACAAATTGCCGACAGAAGAGAAGGCTATTAGCTACTTAAACAGCACACTTGACAGATGAGAGCAGTTTCTTTTAATTCTACACAAATGGGATTCTTAAGGTCAGGTTAAAAAGTCTAATAACACCCATTAATATGTGACACACCCGCGTAATTGAGATATATTTAAATGCTACTTTTAAAGTTGTTATTTGACTATAATTTTAATATTTCCTATAAACTATACTTAATAAATATTAATATTATTGAATACTGATATATCTGAGCAATACTAAATATAATTTTTACAAAAGTCACCTGTGCTCTGGCTCGGTTAATGTGAGTTTGATTGGCGATAAAATTTTAATTTTCCACTCAGCCAACAATGCTACAAAAAATGCATAAATAATTTATTTAATTGGCATCTATTAAAAGGTGAAAATATTTACGCAAATACTTTGTGCAAAAGCCGCCGGTGCGATAAAAGTCAACATCAAAAGTTGTTTCAATGTTAAATGTTTGATTGTTGATGTTGACGCTGCCAACGCGCAGCAAGTTCAACACCAACAACAACAACAACGAAAGCAACAACAATAACAACAAAAGCAACAACAATCACTGCAGCTATATAAATATATGCAAAAGCTGCTAGCTGACTATTTTTTTTTGTTTTTTTCTTGACTCAGCGTCTCGATTTGTGTGTGTCTGTCGTAATTTTGCCAGCCGTTTGACAATTCACAATTTACAATTTACAAGCTCTTACAATTTAACGCCTCTCAGACGCCAATTGCGCATGCCAAGCCTCAGAGAGTTGCGGCACGCCCACAGCTGCAACTGGGCGTTCATAAATGCTTTATAAGTCGCGCGTGTATGTGTGTGTGTGTGTGTGTGTGTCACGCTGAGTTATCGCCAGTCAACACTTGACTCGAGAGTGATTTACACTGGTCCAAGCAGACAAGACAAGTTTAAAGAGCTCAATTTGCAGCGGAGGGCAACGCTGCGTATGCTTGATATTTGCACAAATGAAGGCAGCTCTGGCTCTGCCTTTGCCTCTGCAAGTCTTTAAAGAAAGGAAGCCGTTTTCTTTAAGGCTCGTACTCGAAACAAAGTGAGCGTCTTAACTGATTTTGGCAGACAACCAAAATTGAGAGTATAATTACAAATGACAAATGTCAAACAAGCCGAATATAAACTGACTTCCACAACAGGAAGACAGGGAGACAAAACAACTTGCGGCTAAACGCAATGCGAATGAAGTAAAGGGAGTGAAGGGGTGAAGGGGTGAGCGCCAACTTCTTGGCAATAATATCAGCAGCAGCAACTGCAGTTAAACAACCACAAAAGCAAACAGACAGAGGGAGAAGGAGGGAGGGAGCGAGAGGGACAGAGGGCTGAGAACTCTGGTTGCGGCAACAAAAATCATTGCCAAGCGCAGGCAACCAAGTTGCAAGGTTGACCAACAACAAACAACAATGAGTGTAGGAGCAGGAGCAGGAGCACGAATCTAACTGCAACTCTATGACATTTACTGTATTTAAATGGAATTTGGCAAGCAAAGTTGTTGCCGCAACACCCACACAAGCTGCACAGGAATATACATACAGTGGGCACCATATGGCAGTGGAGCTAAGGCTTAACTGGCTCTGGCTGCTGGGCAGCTGGAGCTAGTAGTTCTGCTCGCTTGTGTGTTTGCCAAAATGTTAAATGTGTATCCGCAGTGGCCCAACGAGGTTGCGAGGTAGACTAGGGGTAAGGGGAGGTGGTGGCAGCCAACTCGCATTTAGTCCACGTCTATGGCTGATTTGGCTCCGGCTAACTGGCTTTTGCGGTTGCCAATGCAACTGGCTGCACGTCTGAGAGCAGAGTTCCATTTGCTGCTCCTGCTCCTGTTACTGCTGCTCCTGCTTCTGCTCCTGACCGTCTGCCAGTTTCTTGTTTGCTCTTGGCATATTTGCTGCGCCGAGACATGACATCAACTTGAAGTGCAGTACACACACACACACACACACACTGACACACACAATTTAATTGCATTTCAATGCCATTTGCAGCAGGAATCTTCTAACCACGAGTATAATTCAGTAAGTGCGGGATCCACTGTCTAATTAGTTTGCGCTAGGCTCATTTTACTTGAAACATTTTTTAACTTTATTCAACTATCTTCACTATTTTCATTTTTCGTTTTTCGCTTTTCATTTTTTTGTTTTTTGAGGCAGCGAGGTCTCCGCTCAGCTCATTACCCGTCCAATTAGTGGAGCCGCAGAGGGCGGGAGGAGAGGCGACCGCAGACTGCGCAAAAATTAATTTTAATTGCTATTTAACTGAGCGTGGCTCACAGATCCTTTTTGGCAGTGCCAGCAAACGTCAAAGGATTTCTTGCTTTTTATTATTTTTTATTGTCGTATTTCCATTCTTTTTGCGTCTCCTGCTGCTGCTGCTGCTGCTGCTGCTGCTTATGCTGGCCAGCACTTGAGTGAATTAATTAATTTGTAAATGGCAGCTGGGCATTTTTAAAGCCTCGACTGCAGCAGCTTTTGCTTCTGCTGCGCTACATGCTTCACCTTTTTAGCTAACAATAGCTAGATTTCCCGATAGCACACGTTCTAATTTTAAAGCACACACACACTTTCACACACACTCATTTAACCACTCAAGGCTGAGCGACATATTTCACACTCAGCAGGAGGAGTTTTGGCGCAAAAACTGTTCGCATCAGCGAAGGCAACAAATTGCCACAGCATTCGAGTATATGATGGTCATTCCAGAAGGGGTTAACAATATGACAAAGTCGCAAGTTTTTGACGGTTTACTGATACAGTCGAGTCTCGATAATATGCGAAAAATCGCAGAACATTCTATCCCCTTGAAAGAAATTCGTTCTCAGTAATTCTCGATTGAATACCTGTGTAAATCGAAAAAACTAATCCCCTTGCCATTTCGAATTATCGGGATTCTACTGTATAAGATTTGCCAAATATAAGTTTGAGGTCGGCTTAGATATTTACTTCTATTTTGATTTAGTCCAAAGTTTGAATATACATATTTTTGAGTTCTAATTTCTTTATATAATTTCTTGATATTTTATATTCAGAAATTTTTTTTATTTATTTATTATTAGATTAATTATATTTTTACTGGCTTTTATTATAGCATGTGAATTAAGTTTACTGCAATAAATAATATTTGTAAGATAATAAATAAATAATTTCAAATATCAAAATGTATTATCTATAGCTGTAGCTATAGCTAGATAGATCTACTTTGATCAACACTTCAATGTTGAGCATTTCAGATCATCCATCTCCAGTAATAAAATTTAACTGAAACTGATTCCTCATTGTAGCTAATATGATCTAAGCCACAGAACACTCTTTTCTACTGCAAAAAGGAAAAACATGGATGCTAAAAATAGCTCAAAGCTCAGAGCTGACACAGCTTGGCCCTTCTGTTATCCATCTGTTGGCCTAGGTGTTAAAAATAAAGAGAGACAACAAAAATGCGGCAAGGCTCATTAGAGCCCAAAGCCCCCTTGACACGCTCTACAGCTATCTCTCTCTCTCTCTCTCTCTCTCTCTCTCTCTCTCTCTCTCTCTCTCTCTGTCTCTCTCTCCCTCACATTCATTCTGTTTCAGCGCGTCACGTCGTTGCCTTAATGAATTCAGCGTTTATGGCGCTTATTCCATTTGCTTTCATTATCACTACACACAGAGATAGGTACACACACACGTGTGTACGTGTGTGCGTGACATGAACTTTTTGGGCTTTTGGGTAGCAGCGAAATTTAAATATTTGACACATTGAAATGGAGGCTAAAGGTTTCCGGCTCACTTCTGCACTGCGTCGCCCGCTACGTGTTGGCTTTAACTTAATAACACAATCATGGGAAATTGGTTTCTCACAAAACATATTTACATACATACATTCCACACAGATTTGTGAACTGTATAGCCGCCTCTCTATTTCCATCCCACTTGTGCCTAATCCATCTACCTTTTTCTCTTATCTGCTGCAGGTGCGCACATTGTTCGTCAGCGGCTTGCCAATGGATGCTAAGCCACGCGAGCTCTATTTGCTATTCAGAGCCTATGAGGTGAGTAATCCGAGACGAAAACTATCCAGGCAGACCATAGAGGCTATTCTCCTAAACACTTAGCAAGGGCCGGAAGCACTTGACTATAAATAAACTGAATTTCGTATTCCTTAAAGTACCCAGGCAGCAATATTAGGATGAAGTAAGAGTAGATTGAATATGATATTATATTATGTGAAAGAGAAGGAAACCAAAGGAAAACACTAATAAAAGGTTTTCAAAGGATAAACGGTTCATAGGGTCAGCCAATACGAACTATCGATAAGTAACTAGAAAGTTATCGATACTTAACTATAGTACTACCTTGACAACTAGAATGACATTAGGAGAAGAAGAAGAGTAGCCAGACAAGCGAAGACCTTAGCATTAAAGTAATAGGGAAAAAATCTTCACACCTTTGAATATACTTTAAATTTTATTTCGGACATTTTAAATGATTGCAAGTTAGCCAGAAATAATTGGAGTTTTGCACAGAACTATTCTTATTCTTATATTTTCTTAACATCCATCCATCCATCTATTAGGGCTACGAAGGATCTCTACTGAAAGTAACTAGCAAAAATGGCAAAACAGCATCGGTAAGTAAATGCTTTAGAGCACCTATGACAAAAGCAACTGTGAAAACCTTACCGACCTAACCGACCTTATTCAACCACAGCCCGTTGGTTTCGTAACATTCCATACAAGAGCCGGAGCCGAGGCAGCCAAACAGGATCTGCAGGTAACTATTAAAGCGAATTGTTGAGCCAAACAACTTCAAATAAATATAATTATATAATAACTACCATACATTTTGCCAACTTTATACATATATAAGCATATGCGATAAACACTGAATATTTTTAGCAATGTCTGCCAAAAGACTTCCCCAAATGGCAACGAATAAATCTAAATTTTCGCCGTACCAAAAGCATCAACACTTCTTAGATTGTAAAGCACACAAAGAAAACAAATATGTTTAAAAAATAATATAAAATCAAACTTGTATTATTGCCTGGCTTACACTGAGCGTTAAGAACAGTTAGGTCCCTCAATCATGTCTCAAGACCCACAGCAAGAACTACAACAAACAACAACTACAACAATATGTACCTCTCACACGTGCTTGCATTTTGAAAGAACCTTCACCGCATTTACATTTAAGTCTTTCCCTATTGATTTGTTCTCTTTTCTTGTTTTGGTATTGCATCTCGCTCTCAGAAAACTACTCTCTCCCTTTCTATCTCTGTTACTCGCTCTCTGTCACACCACCACAAAGAATACATATACATCACATTAAACACACACTCTCTCTCGCTCTCTCTCTCTCTCTCTCGCTCTAATTCAATATATACATATATAGCAACTGCAACGAGGCAATGAAGCACCAACAAATGAACCCTAAATATTATATATATATAAATATTAATATATACATATATGTGAAATTATTTATTAGTGAACAATTTAAATGGCTGGTGCATGTCAATGACACCCCCTCAACCCCTTGGCACCACCCATTGGCACCAAATTTCTTCAATGAATTTGAAAGAACCCAAACGCCCCACTCATAGGTGCTCCTCCTATGCAGTTGCTGTTGTCATCTCCTGCTTTTGATTTATGTGCATATATACCAGAGATCAATTCACACACACCACACACACTCACACACACAGCAACACCAACACTCTAAATTAGATCCGTGTAACCCCTAACCCGTCAACTTCTGAACAGAGCAAGGCATCCAAAGGCACCACTCAATAGCCTCAGCTCAGCGTTCCGTAAGCACTGCCAATAAGAAAAAACAAGTTGGATTCTAAGTTCCCAATCAGAATTCGAAGATCAAAGTAGAATATACAAAATCTGCTCTCCCCAGCTCTCTCTCTCGCTCTCTCTCTCTCTCTTTCTTTCTTAACACTAGATATGCGACATTTGAAATTATTTTTGGCGAATTGTTGCAAGTCAACAAATTTACAAATAGAAATTAAGACAGTCGAGTAGAAAGTCTCCGAGTTGAATTGAGAAACACTCGTTTTTATTTTGCAAAAATTAAAAATTGAATGAAAAACTAAAAACGAAAATGCAAATTAAATAGAATATACAAACCGCTGTATCTTGATCTGATCATTTACAGCAGGGTGTACGCTTCGATCCCGATATGCCCCAAACAATTCGCTTGGAATTCGCCAAGAGTAACACGAAAGTGAGCAAACCCAAACCACAGCCCAATACAGCGACAACAGCCTCACATCCTGCATTGATGCACCCACTCACTGGACGTAAGTAAAAAAAAAAAAAAAAATTGATTAACTAAAAAAAATGAAAGCTCGATTCAGCAGCTGCTACTTTTTTCTAGTTACAAAATATTCTTCTTTTGGTTTATGTATGTAGTAAATAGTAAGAAAAACAAAAAATAAAAACACACAATATTTACTTCAAGCTAACGAATCGATGGCGTGCCTAGGGAGCGTACGCAATGCACTTCCTAATTATTATGACTCACACACACACACACACGAACACGAACACAACAATAATCCAACAATTGAACAGTTGAAATTCGCTTCAAGTGCACACTCGCTCTCTGTCTCTCTCTCTCTCTCTGTATCTATATCTCTCTATCAATACAAATTCAAATATATATATTAATATACCGTATATATGGCTATATATCAATTGTGATCGAATATCGTAAGCCCCAACTAAATTTCGCTATAAATATTTACATAGGTTACAGCAACAGCTCAACAAACTGCAACAAACAACAACAACAACAACGACCACAACAACAACAAACAACTATGATATGTAATTGCACTTTGATCACTGTAACACATTGTTTGAATCACACACCACGACACAGCCACAAATACACATACACACACACATATACACTAAGACACACACTTACACAATTTGTGAAATTTTTAGTATACAAATACATATATAAATGTATACACAGAATACTCAAAAAACCTATATATATTTATAGATATATATTCATATTGATTGAAACTTGCTTAAAGATTCTAGTCCAGAAGATGTGCAAACATTTTTCATATGCAATGAAACGAATAACTTAGGCAACGAACTTGAAAACAAACAGTATTTTCGGTATTTTATTTTGTTCACTTTTTTACAAATCAATAAGAATCGAAAATTAGAACAACATTTTTAACCTAATGTGAAATTATAAAAATTTACAAGCTGGCGCTCAACTGACTTCTCGCTTCCCTCTCTTTCTTTTTCTCTCTCCCACTTTCTCTTTGTCTCGTTTTCTATTCCGTTTTCTCATAGATCTGGGCGGGCCATTCTTTCCGGGCGGACCCGAGCTATGGCATCATCCGTTAGCGTATTCAGCCGCCGCCGCCGCTGAGCTGCCCGGTGCCGCTGCCTTGCAGCATGCAACACTCGTGCATCCGGCACTGCATCCGCAGGTGCCCGTACGCTCCTATCTCTGACTAAATACAGACAAAGTAATGGAGCAGCCTATGCATCAAGTGAGTAAAGGCGCAGCGCCACACACCCACACACCCACACACCCTCACACACCCAGACACACACAAACATTATTAATTGTTGCGTGTTGCAGACTCAAATGACAATGCCACATCATCAGACAACTGCAACCGCTTTACATCCCAGCCAGCAGGCGGCCATGGCGCACTTGGCCGCTGGCGGCGGTGGCGCCGGTGGTGCTGCTAGTGCAGCAGCCGCCGCTGCTGCTGCCGCTGCGGCGCCACAAGGGGCTGCAGGCAACCCAGCAGCAGCAGCCGCTGCAGCCGCCGCCGCCGCCGCTGCGGCCGCATCACATCATCATTTTTTATCCAGTCCCGCTCTGGCTAGCCCCGCCGGCTCCACCAACAATGCCGCGCATCCAGCCAACCCACAAATAGCCGCCAATGCGCCCTGCTCGACGCTGTTCGTAGCCAACTTGGGTCAGTTCGTGTCCGAGCACGAGCTGAAGGAGGTGTTCTCTAGGTAAATGAATGAGTTCAACTCTGATTAACATTTATCGATATAAGCTAAGCCAGAAACGTTAAGCGATATACCGATATACACAAGTAAACACGTCACAAAGTTTGAGTTGTTGAGCGAAAACTGCACCACATTGTTAACCACAGCAGCCACCTAAACAAACCACTAAACCCACCAAAGCCACCACAACCACCACAACCACCTAACCACCAACTGCACCATAAATTTTTTCTCAACTCTAACTAATCGCAAAGACTAATCAGCATCTCTTTTGCGTTCTCTCTTTGGTTTGTCGTTTGTTGCCCATCACTTGTATTATACATGAACTATCGATAACCGACTACTACCTACACACCTATATATACACTTTGTGTGTATACACATATATCGTATATGCCACTCAAAATACGTTAACATATATATGCACAGTATGCCTGGCTTTTGTCGCCTCCGAATGCACACAAAAGGTACGCACAATATCACAACTTCTATGCCTCCAACTTTGTCTTCAACTCTGCCTTCTCCAACACCAACTTCAACTTTCCACACTGCAACTGTGAACCGCCAATTGTCAACAGCAGCAGCAGCAGCAGCAGCCACAAATTGCAATACCAGCAGCAGCAGCAGCAACAGCAACACCAATTCTGGCCAGCAGCAGCAGCAGCATCCGGTAGCCTTTATTGAATTCAACGATGCTCCGAGTGCTGCGCAGGCCATGCATCAGCTGCAGGGCAAGTACTTGCTCAGCTCAGATCGCGGCTGCATACGCATCGAATACGCCAAGACCAAGATGCTAAACGAGCTGTCGCTGCCGCTGCCGCTAATGAATGGCAAGCCACCAGCAGCAGCAGCAGCAGCAGCAGCAGCCGCAGCAGCCGCAGCAGCACAACAGCAACAACTATTTTTATTGAATGGCGGCTTGGATTTGGGGCATGTTGCGAATGCCAATATGCTCGTCGCGGCACAGGCATCGGCCCAACAACAGCAACAGCAACAGCAGCAACAGTTTCAGCTACAGCAAATGCAACAGCAGCAGCAGCAGCAGCAGCAGCTACAGCAACAACAACAACAACAACAGCAGCAACCACTACAAGTACAGCCAACTGCAGGCTGCACCAGCACCAGCACCACTAGCGTTGTTGTTAACTCACTACAGCACCACCAACTTCATCCAAATCAGCACCACCAAAATCATCTCTTTAGAGACGTATGTATATGATAAATAAGAAACAAAAAGTAAACCCACCAAACAGCATTCAATGAAACCTAAAAGTAAACCTAAAAGTAAAAGTAATTTCGTTTATGTAGTTGCTAGCTCACTCTCACACTCTCTCTCTCTCTCTCTCTCTCTCTGTCTAACTCTCTTTCTCTCTCTCTCTGTCTCACGCACAACCCACACACTTAACTATCGCTCAGCAATTCTTAAGCCCGCTTTTATATAGTCTCTAAGCTCTTGAAATATTTAATGCAAACCCACTCTCACACGCAAAGGGTTCTGCCCATAACTCACGACCTTTATGCCTCCAAACTCAAGCACCATATATCATAAGCAAATTGTATGCAACCTGCCCGAAAAAAGGCGAAGCCAATTAACTATTTATGAAATTGCAAATTGTTATTGTTTAGCTCGGCTCGTTTACTTTGCATGGCAACAGCAGCAACACAGCAACAGCAACAGCAACAACAGCAGCAGCAACAGCAGCAGCAACAGCAAAAATTGCGACCAGGCAGGCATTTAAATACAAATTATAACAAACATATATGGCCAGCATAAAGACCCAACTACACCCACCCACCCACACACACACATATACATACACGTGGAACGATTTATGGCCACCTTCTAGCACTTGACTTTATGCTACACACACACACACACACACACACTCTACATGCTACTCCTGCATTTTATATGGCCATCTCGAGTTTTAAATGCAAGCTTCCGCTTAGCCGCAACAACAACATTTTGTTCACCTTAAGCTGAGCACACACACACACACACACATACACACACTGACAGACACACACATAAATAGTATGTATGCTGCTTGCTGCACTTATTTTAAATGCTAAGAGAACGCATAAATTCACTTTTTCAATTTTCGTGATCACAAACAGTAGCAACAACCGTAGGAACAGCAAATAAATACAGCAGCAACAACAACAACAACAACCAGAGCATGCAAACTTTATACAAAATGCGAAACACACACAGCCACGCCCTGAATTATGTGCGGCCACCCACGATGCGTCGTACATTACGCTAAAGAAAAGTAGTTTAAAACATAAAAATCGCTAGACTATGAAACGAAAGCAGCGAAAGAATTCATTCGTTTATGATTGTGAATAGAATTTACAAGGAGTTCTAAGGTTAGTGGAGACGGGCATGGGAAGGAGTTCTATATATCAGACGCGAGTATCTTAACAAATATAGCTGAATACATAGGAAGAATGATTCAAATAATATTTAATAGAATATAATAAAAAATATAATAATAATATCGATAATATTTCATGAGTATTGAAATGTAGTGAGTTAAGTGGAAAATGAACGAATGATTAATATAATCGAAGTAGACAAAATTCGAGTAAATATTGTAGATCTTAAAGATCTTTCTTGAAGCATAGCTAATGAAAATCAATTTTAAAGAGAGCCAAGAATATATATATTTTAAAGAGAGCCAAATATATATAGCTAAGAATTAGAAAAGTTAGATTCTTCAATTCTGATCTAAAAGAATTTAAAGATCGGACTTTCCCAATTTAGAGCTCTATATTCTCATACAATTTATCTATATAATAATCGGACTTTCCTAGTTTAGAGCTCTATATTCTCAGATAATTTATCTATAGCGTTCGTTTGGTTATTACGACGGAAGTTCGAGTCTTCAGACAAACCTACTATATATGAGCAAATTTAAAAAGAATAGGACTTCCATGAAAGATATATTTCCTCTCGAAACAAATAATAATAATATTATAATAACAATAGTAGATTCAGTAATAAAATATGGGTTGATTACAAGTAAGCAACAGTTGAGCAACAGAAAGTGAAGGACCTAAATAACAGACATGTAATACAAGAGAATACCAGCATATGAAATAAGGTTACCCTAACTGAAATAAAACTAGAAATATTCCACATCCAATTTGAAGCTCTGTGGCCAACAGACATGCGACATACTTTGATGTGAGTCTGAATCAGATACAGCCATGAGTCGAAGCTCAAAGCAAATATGCAAATTTGTATTGCTTTTTAATTGATTTCTTGAAATTTATTTGCAGCCAAGTTGCAAAAAGTTTATGGGGATAAAATGTTTGCAGTTCGATTTTAGTAAGTTTCGCTGCTGTTTGGGGTTGGCTGCTGACTCGAAATCAATTTAAAGCGGTTTACAAGCTGCGAGAGCTTCTCGTTTTCGTTTCGGTAGTGCGTAAAGCTAGGGGCTTTGTGTTTGGGGTTAGTAGTGAAGGCGAAGAAGCCAGCAACATCGTAAAAAATTGCTTAGCCACCAGAGGCATGGAAGGGGCTTCAAGGAACTGCTGCTTGGAGCTGCTGTGCGAATCTTTGTTTCTTTGCATGCTGTTTACAAATAAAGAATGATTCTTATAGCGGTTCGGCCATAAAATAGTAGCTGAAGGCTATGTGTGTGCATGTGTGCCACACACACAGACACACATGCATACACACGCACACACACAGCCAGGCAGCCATGCATGTCGAGTCCATTTAATGTGTAACGCTTTAAGAACTATCCAAATCACTGAATGCACAAATCCCAGTGTCAAACCTCACTGACAGCCACTTACAACGCCAACTGTTCTACCAAACTACTTGCAGAGGAGCGGGTATGGAATCAAGGCATGATTTGCTCGCTAAGAAACTAGAGCGTGAAATGCAGCAGCAGCAGCAGCAGCAGCAACAACAACAGCAGCAGCAACAACAACAGCAGCAGCAACAACAACAGCAGCAGCAGGCACATCATCAACAACATCAGCATTTCCATCAGAGCCACCAGCCGCATCATCATCATCACCATCATCACCAGCACCACCACCATCAGCAGCAGCAGTTCTTGATGACGCCGACAGCGACCTGACCCGGCAGCGCCAATGCACCGCCCGCACCACCAACGCCGCTGACCCACTACCAAAACCTTCAGCAGCACCACCACCAGCCGCAGCCGCTGCAGCACCACATCTACTCGTACTTGCTGCCAGCGACAACGCACATTGCCGCCTGAGTGGTGCGGTGGTGCGACGGTCCGCAGCGACAGGCGCACATTTTGAGTTTGAGCGGATTTCCCTCTCCGCCCGGCATAGAGCAGTGAAGCTCCGCATGTGACGGATTCATGCAAAGGAGGCAAAACTTTAGTTGTAGTATATTCAACAGAAAAATAATATAAAAAAAATACAAAAAAAAAAAAAAAAAATTAAACAAAAAAATATTAAATGATATATATACATATATATATATTTGTTTATATGGCAAGCCTAACCCAGTTTAGTGAAATTTTTGACAGGCCGATGAAATGTATGCAAAAATTATAGGTACCAAAAAATAAAAATAAATAAATTAAAAAAAGAAAAAACAATTATAATACAAATAAAATGAAATGCAGCAAAAGAGACCCTTGTAGTAAAATATACAACAAAAAATATAAATAAAAAAAAAAAAAAGAAAAACAATAGATCAGATTAGATTGAGAGAGCTTAATCTCAACAGTTAATTTTGCCCCAATAGATATACAAAACTATGTATGTATATATATATTTACATATATGTAAACGATTTTTGAAAGATTTTTAACTATGGTTGTTCTGATAGTTTGCATTATTTGCTTTTGCTTTTTGGATCTTGCAGAGATCATGGGATGACCCTTAACTCTCCTTTATTTCATTTCTATTTATTTATTCAGATACTTTCAAACACATTGAAGAATGGAATTGAGACATTACAAGTTACGAGCATTTTTTAAAACATTTTGATCAGTATGAAAAAGATCTTTTTAAAGCATAATAACAAGTTAAGGGAAAAGAAAACAAGATACAGATAAATAAATAATAATAAATGAGGAAAAAATATAATTATAGCTTAACCGAATGTGCCCTTTAAATAGCTCTCTTTCTAGACTTATTAAAAGACAAAGAAAAACAAAAAGAAATGAAATCGATAATGAAATATGCAAATAAATTAAAAGCAAATAAGTAATACATCTGTATGTTTGTGTATGTATGTATATGCATTGAATTAATATCTTGACTCTAGTAATACAATTTCGAACTGTTAAACGGAAAACCAAATACGATAAAGTAATTGAGTAGCTAACAATTCAACAACGAGAACTAGTCGAAGTCGTCATTGAAGAAGAAAGTGAAATTTACACTGAGAACAACTGAACGCTGGTTTCCAAATTTATTTGTTATAATAACGTACTTATACGTACTTATCCATTGTGAATTCGATACGGCATTGAGTTTGAATGCGCTGTTAAGACTCTCCAAACACATACTTAGGCATATGCATGTATATATGTACAACTATCTGCCAGCCAGGGCAGCCGGGAACTGGCTCTGAGGCTGGCCTAAAACAAATTCAAAAAACACTCTCGACACACTTTCCGCCCAAACGAAAAAGAATGAATGAAATTTCTGCAAAGGCTCTCAGCTCCACCCTAAAGACTAGAAAATTGATAAGCTCGTGCTGCTGGCACCTCATCATCAGCGGCAAGAGCAACAACGTGAATTCCTAAACTCAATTTCAACAAATGCTAGAACAATCAAGACACACACATCTCTTGCGCAAACCAATGAACAGCAGGCAGTGGGGTAACGCCACAGATGTAGATTTCTCTCTAGGCAGAAAAGCACATGCAAACAGCAAGCAGCAAACAGCAAGCAGCAAGCAGCAGGCAACAAACAACCAACAACACAAACAACTTATATGATTACTCGTACTCTCTCTATACATATTTGCGAGTGAAATCGTTAACATATCATCTTACGTAGCGACAGTTGCTGCGGTTCAGCAACTACTTATATCTATTGTAACTAAACGAAACAACTACAAGTACACTTATGCTAAAGCAATGTTAGCAAGCAAAAATAATTCTAAAAACAACAAACAACAAAAACATACAGCAGAAGGCAAGACATAGGCTTTTAAGTAGCTAATTACAAGATCAAGCGGCGCGCTTAAAAATTTGAAAACGCAAAACAATTTGTTTATTCGAAATGGTTATTTTCTCTCAATTGTATAAGCATACATTCATTATTTAAAATATATTAATATATATACATATATTTAAATTAAATTTTTATATTTACCAAAGTTGTCCTTACTAAATAACATAAAATCGTTTACGTTAACCATTCCCAACATTTCTTAAGCAAACCAACATCAAAGTAATCAACTTGAAACAAAATAAAATAAGCATAAAAATCTATTAAATATTTTGTTAAGATAAAAAAAAAAAAAAAAAAACAACTAGACATACCAAAGGCATATTCAAAATGTTTGTTAAAGCAAAGAAAACACAAAACAAAAGAAAGAAAAAATATGTTAAATATATTATGGCAATAATAATTGGCATAATTGGATATCAAGAAAACAAAATCTAAGAAAATTTTGAAAATTTTGTCTAATCCTCGTTTAATTAACTTGAATATTGAAATTTATTTCGTATATGTATAATTTCAATTGACTTTAGTCAAATGTAAAAGCATATTCCGTCCAATTACATTTCTTGCTTTCCTCTTGCCGATCATCATCATGATCCTCATTGTCATTAGCATCATCTTTGTCATTAACAACAGCTAACATCAGCTAACATTGATCGCAGCATTCAGGCGCGTTGGTCAGACGACACACACACACACACACACACACACACATTATACATACAGTTAAAAAAAAAATAGTTTTAAGTGAACAAGTTTAATTATATATTAATACTAATGCATATCATAAAATTGCGCCTTTAATGAAAATAAAGAACAAACAACCAAAAAAAAAAAAATAAAATAAAAATAAAATTAATAAAAAACGAAAAATATTTACAACTACCACTAAGCACATAATTAAATTAAATAAAAAACAAGCAGAAGAATGTTTACCCAAAGGAAACAAAGTGGATTAGAAGCTATGCTAATATAAAAAATATTTTCGAAATTAATTTTTAAGCTTGAGAATAAGAGATATTCTTTGAGCGAGGAAAAGCAATGTAAATGCATTCTTATTCATAATATAAGATGCTGTGCATGTGTGAGTGTGCGTACGTGAGTGTGTGAATGTTGTGCAATGGAGAAAACGATAGGCCAGCATCTCTGGAAGAAACGCGTCCTACCCAACCAAATCATGTTCTCATTTAGCTTAGCTCACGCATCTGTATCTATAACAATGTAGACAACCGATGATAAAGACATGAGACATTGCCACATTAGCTGCTTTCAAAACAAAACATAACAAATTAAAAGAACATTCTCCTAACCGACATTTCGTGCGATTTCAAACAGCTGAACAACAATTGATGCAATTGGAGTGCATGCAAAAGTAGAGCGAACACTTTTGAATGGGAATATCTAATGCATAATGAAACTAGTTTGTAATGATAAGCTAAACTAAACTAAACTAACAATATGAATTATGGGAACATTATATGAAAATATGAATACATTTTTGAAACAAACGAACATTATTATTTATATATATAAACCTACATGCAACTACAACAGATACATATCAGCAAGATGAAAGGTTTACCAGATAGAGAAACAAAAATAAAAACAAAAACAAAAAGAAATGGGAAAACAAGTTTTACAAAAAGTATGAAACTTAAAGTTAAAAACGATATGTTTTGATGTGGTTTTTAAACATTTTTAACAGTGTAAGCGTAAAAAGGCAGTTACCAAAAAAAAAAAAAAAAAAAAAAAAAACAGAAATAACAATTGATAACAATATAATAGAGACTACGTGTGTTTTACGCATCTATGGGCAATTAGTAATAGAATACGAATACATACGACTTACATAAAAAGAAAGGCAGCAGCAGCAATGGCAAACCAAATTTGTATTTATTATTGTATTAGCTCTTAGCTATACATGTATGTATATACATATATACAAGTATTGTACTTTACGTTTCGCGCATCTCGAGAGGGGTTAATCATACATAGAACTGTCCTGTATACCTGCATATTCGATATCGATTGCCTTATGTTTGCCTGCTGACGGATAACTAAACCGACTTGTTTTGTAACCAACTAATGCTTAAGTTCTTAATATACCATTGTATACCATTTGTCTATATGCTTTATATATACACACTATCTTTTCGTACTTGCGTTTATATGTAGCGATTATTTAGCCTTTTTTAATTGACGGTATTAATTATGCTTAATAAATTCATTATGTTCGTTAAACAAACAAAAAATAAAAAACTAAAACCCTTTGTTTCATTTACATTGATTTATTTATTTTGTCCCTTTCACTTTTCACTTTGCACTTTTTATTTTCCTTCCATGAAGAGATGCGCATAAAACCTTCAAGAAACGAATTTTAAATTAGTGAAATTTTTTGCAAGAACTATACAACTAAAGGCATACAACAGCAAATACAGCTACATATATATAAATATATACATATATTTGAAGCCCTGCAAACAATTAGAAAACTGGGAAATATGTAATATGTATTCAAATAGAAATTGATATGGAAAAGATTGTAAATTTTGTTTATAACATTTCCAATTGCGAGCTGGACAGTTGAATTATATATATATACGTATATATATATATATATGAATACTATCTACATACATTCAATATACTCGTATACAAATATACACATACATATACACGCATACACAAATATGTTTATATATAAATATATATATACAGGCATATACAAGCATACGTATAGGCA